TCGGACTTTGGCTGGATATCCCGCCCTGCGGCTCTGGTGGATGTCGCCGGCGGTGACTTCTCTGTCGCTCGACCCGGCAGAGGGACGGCAGCTCCAGTGGGGCAAGCAGGGGTCGTTCCGGCGACTTCGGCTGGAGTCGTCACGGGCACCCTCGGAGGACATGGAAGCGGATGGCCTTTTCTTCCATGAGGCGGTGACGTCGGGCCGGCTACGGCTGCCGTGCGCCACCACGCCGGCGGAGGATGAACAGGGGCGACCGGCGCCCAAGCGTGTCCGGCAGAAACTGCCCGAGCCGGCCAAGGCGAGATGGGCGGCCGATGGCCGACGCTTTGCCCCCTGGCACTACATCGAGGAGGCGATGATGCACGATGCCGCCGGCCGGTTGCACATCATCCCACCGGCGGCCAAGGAGAAGCTGCACATGCTGCCCCCCGGCTACACGGCGGCCGACTTCCTCGACGACCGGGCCCGGCACAAGATGCTGGCCAACGGTTGGCATTAGGGAGTGGCGCGTCGGCTGCTGGCCATGCTGGTGGTGTTGACCGCGGCCGGCCCAGCGCAGGCGGCACCGGCCCCGGAGCCCAGACGGTCCACGATGCAGTGGATGGTCGAACAGTTTGGCGGCGGCCCGGTGCCCATGGAGCCGCCGCCACGCCTGCGGCCGGACCTGGAACTGCCCGACGACGACCCGGACATGCACTGGCGCCTGGCGGGTCAACTGGTACACTGCACCGTGGCACGACGGCCGAATTTGGAGCCGGCGCTCGAACGGGTGCTGGAGCTGTGGACGCATTGCCGCCATGAGGTCGCCCGGCTGCGTCGGGAGGTGCTGGTCGAGCTGGCGCAGCTGGTCCTGGACATGCAGGAAACCACGGAGGAGTGGTTGGCGTCACGGTCGGCGCCCGTCAGGTCCACCTACACGGTGCCCGGCAAGGCCCGGCACACGCAGATCCCCGTCGTGCTGAATCTCCTTGAGATGGTCGGTTACCCGGACGTGGCGGGCATGACGGCGGACCTCACGGACGGCTTTGACATGCTGGGCGAGCTCCGGCGTGGACCTGGCTGGAAGTCGCGGACAGACGGCCGCTACTCCAACCCGGCGTCGCTCGACACCTTGGCGTCGGTGAACTGGAGCTACGTCAAGGACCGCACGTCGAGGCCCAGGACTGGCGAGTACACTGAGAAACTCCTGGTGGAACTGGTGGACGAGACTCGACTCGGTCGTGTCGTTGGGCCCACCCGGCCCCCGGCGGGCTGGAACATTTCGACTGTCCCGTTGGTCAACGTGGCCGGCGC